GGTCAGTTCCCCTCGGTACAAAAAAAATATGGTTATACGATGGGTGACCGAAAACTTATCAGCTCCTAACCACTAACCAATGCGCCATTGTGGTCCTCAGAAGCTAGTAATGTCGTGACACATAGTTATCGTCGATTCAGCTCAAATGACATGCGATAATATATTTGTAATTCATTTTAAAATCTAGGTCATTACTTAATTAGGTAATATGTACATATTTGTTGAAATAAGTGGATCTTTTGTTTCATTAAGTTATAGTAAACATTAGTTAGTATAATAAAGGGAAATATAAAAAGATACCATTTTGCTTGTTTGTCTGTTTGGCTATATTAATATTACTAGCTTTCGCCTGCGGCTTCGCCCGCGTGGGCCTTAGGGAAATGTTTAGTGGGATAAAAAGTATCCTATTATCGGAGTCAGCTAATACCCTATGGGGGCGTCCATAAATTACGTGAGATGTTTAAGGGGGGGAAGGGGTCGAGGCAAATATCACGCAATTTTTTTCTGATTGAAACAAAAGAAAATATACTATTTTGGTCCATTTAATCCAGATTGTACATGCTTAAGATTTAATCTTAATCGTAATCGTATACGATTAAGATCATTCACTAATTCGTTCAAAAGAAAATAATTTCATTCATACTTCGATGCTATACATCTACTGAATGTCAAACCACCATATTTGTAGGGTTCGAACGATACTTTCGATACCGAGTAGGTATCGATACTTTCAAAAGCGATACTCGATACTACAACAAGGCAAATACTCGCAAGTACTCATCAAATTGCATTTTAAAAAATCTCACGTGAGATTGGGAGATGGGGGAGGGGGGTTGAATAAATCTCACGACATCTCACCAGGGGGGGAGGGAGGGACAGAAAATTTAAAAAACACCTGACGTAATTTATGGACGCCCCCTATCTGTATACCAAATTACATCAAAATCCGGAAAAATCAAATTTCGGCGTGATTGACCGACAAACATCCAAACATCCAAATATCCAAACATCCAGACAAAGAAACTTTCACATTTATAATATTAATAATAGTATAAAGGGTTTTTGTTTGTTTACATAGAATAGACTCCGAAACTACTGCTAAAATTCTTTCACCATTCGAAAGCTACATTATCCATGAGTAACATAGGCTATATTTTATTTTGGAAAAAATACAGTTCCGTAAGATATTTGACTTTTTCGGACACAAGGTGTAAAAAATCAACCAGAAAAGTTACTTATTTTGGGTACGCTGCCTAAACTATAAAAGATAGAAGCATAAAATGTTCTAATTAATTGTAGATCTTATAAATATCTACAAATAAGTCCGCGACACACTATACCTATCTATGTCGATTGAGGCACAACAACCATTATTTTATTTAAAAATCTTGAATTTTTTTTTGTCTACATTTAAACGCGTTTATTTTACTCATACTATTAATCCTTATCAAATTATATCATCACTAAGTATAGTTTATGTAGATGATATTTGGTCTTTGAATTATTAAAATTGGACGTTTGGTTTTAAAGTTATGGCGAAATTAAAATATTACGATTTCTGCTGCATGGGCCGTTGTGAAGTGGACGTCACAGAGGCGGGGGTGCGCGTGGGGGGGGGATCTTATTAGATTTATGAGTAGGCCATAGGGCGCTTGTGCACTACACTGAATTTTCAGATTCGGCGCGGCGGTCCGATTTTTTCCGGTTCGGAATATCATGAAAAACCCGGTTGAGTAGCTTGTGCACTTGTACGTTTTTTTCCTGATCGGAGCGGCGCAGTGTAGTACAGCTCTCTTTGAAGGTACAAGTCACTTACGCTAGGTACGACGAGATTTTTGGAACGTTGGTAATTCCGTTCGAAGACGTAGAAAGGTACCTAAATAATGATCTGATCATTTTACATAAACCATAATAAATTATGGCAAGACGAAAGCATTTTTTTTTACTTCTATCGGATGACTATTATCAGATGTAAAAACTTATACCTTTACTAATTCAGGAACAGCATTATTCACATACTAAAAATATCTGTGACATTAGAATAAAATTACTGATAATGGTCTAGTACTTAATGATTAAATTTATAAACGTGCTATTTTTTTTCGAAGTTTTGTAGAAACAACTTTAAACTATTACAGAGATAGACCAATCGGTATTTCGTAAACAAATCGAAATTAATGCCGTGTAAGCGGAGAATTAATATGCTAAATGAACTTGACGAGATCAGTTGACTGTATTATATATAGGCATAATTTTATATGCGTGGTGTAGTTTCTTTGAGCAGAAATTTTTTCCCTTAGAATACTTCTATTTTTTAATTTATTTATGACACAAACAGTCATTTCAGATTTTATTAAATGCGAAAAAGACATTGAGTGACACTTACTAATTTCTGTTAATCTTCTGTTTATTCTTTATTATTACTTCTGTTATCAAACATTTATCTTTACTTATCAATTGTCTAAAAAAATTTGATAATGACAAATACCAGGCAAACTTTCATCTCCTATTTTTCGTGATAAAATTGAACCTTTCTATGTTCTTTCTTAAAGTTTAGTCTATTTATTATATTAATTTCCATTAAGATGGGTTCAGTTGTTTAGGCGTCTAAGCGTAACAACAATTATTTATCTTACCTTAAGTTATCGATACTTTTAATACGATCCTAAAATCTAGCTAAGTATCGATACTAGAAACATACGCTGATCAAATTATAAATCTATTCAAACTATACCGAGTTTGCCAAAGCATATGCAGTGATATTTACCAACTAAATTAAATCATCATATAAAATATAGCATTTTAAAACATACATTAAATATCGATTATAAGTTTATTGGAAATTAACAATATCGTTGAAATAAATATCGATTGTACACAAATCGATTATTTTTTCCCAAGCCTATTCCTTATGAATTTTCCGGATCTCGGACACAGCAGTGCACAAGCGTAAACACGTTTTTCATTGCCGCCATCACGGACCTGAAAATACCGGTCCGGAATAGAGAAAAGTAAAATCCCGGACGGTAAAATTCCTGACAGTGCACAGGCTCCTATATATGGCCTGACATATCGGACCTGAAAAAAACGGACCGCCGGACATGAAAATTCAGTGTAGTGCACAAGCGCCCTTACTCTTACTCCGTAAGTACTTTACGCCGGCGGAAAGCTAGTTATGTATATACTCGAAAAATTGGCTTGCTGTTCTGTAAAAATGCAGCGTAGACAGCATAATCGAATTAAGAGCGTTCATTAACATCGAAGTTTTCAAAATATAAATTAGTTATTTTATAAAAGAAAGGACAGACTAAATACCAATATTTTGAAGCAGTGTACTCCCATCTTTCCAATTTTTTACGGAATCGCTCTGCTGCCAGACCTATTAACTAACTGGTGAGCGAAAGGTTGTAGGTAGGGAATGGAATCTCGCGAGATCTCGCCCATTTCGAGATCGCGCGAGATTTTCTCTTTTGTGTGTTTATTCTTGCAAATGATCACTATTATAAAAATTATTAGAAATTATTTTTACGGGTATTTTCAATAAAATTTAATGAATTTAATATTGTTTGACATAATCATATATTTTTTTATCTACTACTTTTAAACGAGCGCTTTCTGTATTATTATCAGTGGTCGGAATTAGGTAGAGTTATTCATGAACTTACACTGATTTCATACAGCGAAAGAATAAAGTGGATATGCCTCAAATCCCGAGATAAATTTTAAAGAGTAGAAAAAATCCCGTGATTTTTTAAATAAAAAGTTATTTACTTTTAAACAATTTAAACTACTGCACGCACGACGTTGCCAAACTTACATCAATGAAAGAAAGAAATAAAGAAATCCCGAATCCTGGGAAGGTCCTCATTAATATCAACATTTCGATGCAAGTACATAAATAACTCTACCTAATTCCGACCTCTGATTATTATTTGAATCTTGGAAACGGCTCTAACAATTTTCATGAAATATATAACAGTTATATAACAAAACTACAAAAAATAAAAAATCAAATACAACTCATTTACTTTGTAAGGTTGAATAAATAAAAAGAACTGAAATACCATATTATTATCGATTAAAGAAAACTATGTATACTCAGAGATTTATTAAGAATTACAGCATAAATAAACATAAACAAAATATAATATAAATTTAAAGATTTGTTCAGTGCACCTCATACGCCATTATTACGAATTACTCTTACTCATTTATTGCTTTCATGTGCTGAAACAAATGTTATTTTTTTATGTACCTTGACACGAACCCTAATAAGGGCACTACAACAATAATTAAATTAAACTATAATAATTATAAAATCAAACTAAAAATAAGATTTAAAAAGTATCATGCAAAAGAATAAATTAATAAAAAAATTCAAAATTCGATAAAAATTTGTGCATCTTAATTGATATTACTATTAAAATATATAATTTTATTTAGAAAATACTGTTTATTAAATGTAGTCATAAATTAAAGAGGGCGGAAATGAATGATTAGAGTAACTTCCCGTTTCACTAAAAAACTCCTGCAGCGAATAGTAGCATTATTGTGATAGATATTTATTTAGGCTATTTTTGAAAACATTAATTATAATTCAAATAATTTTGAAAGTAGCTTCTTAAGGAGCACAATTGTCCAAGGAATCGCCTGTTTATTTTCTTCTTATTGTGCTGGTCAAATAACCGGCCGCTTCGGAAACGAAAGTAAAATTTTAAGACTTCTTCTTTTGATCCCTCGAATTTACGCTCGACTTTGGACTCGCATAAATTCACGCTTCCGCACTAAGAATAAGTCATTTTTGTGCTCGATTGCAATCTCGTTAAACTCGCGAGATCTCGCCCATTTTTAGACCGAGATCAGTCTCCCAATATTAGAACGAGATCTCGCGATATCTCGACCTTTTTTAGCGAGATTACATTCCCTAATTGTAGGTTCAGGTACCTGGTTATCTGGTGGATTTTTTAAGCGTTTCTCATTTATATGATCGTTGTTCTCAGGTTGGATTCAAGGGGTATGGGTTATCATCAGCTCAGTTGTCATCGTCAGGCAGCTTCACGTACAGTGACGGACAGACATACACGATCACCCACGGCGCAGTGATAATAGCAGCCATCACATCGTGCACTAACACATCCAATCCTAGTGTTATGCTGGGTGCAGGTAAGTCAAGAGAACTTCTCAATGAAGAATAGCAGCAAATTAATTTCCCCACAGCTGGAGAGCAGACCTTCCCTAGAAATGAAATTGAACATAAAAAATGGGTGGGCCCTCCACGCGGGCCCAATGCGGATTTCTGGGTGTTAATCCTTGCAAATGCAGTCGAGACCAACGGCTTAACGTGCTTTCCGAAATATGTAGTGAGAGATAATACATTTTCGGTCACCCATCTTATGACTAACCATTATGAAAGTTGCTTAACTATCGCATCGTTGACCTCTATCACCAAACCCTTATCACAATCGCTATATTAATAAACATTAGACGACATCACATACATTACTCAGATTCTCATTCGCAGTCTCAGGAATCGGAGTTAGCCAATCTTTATTTTATATAAATAAATGGAAATGTTTTTTAACAAACTCCCCTTTTTCAAAAGTGTATAGAGTACCACTGGAGGTACCGCAACACCCACACCGGCGACTTAAAATTGGTCACCCATCCTAAAACTGGCCTTCGCAAAACATGCTTAACATTTGCAATCTCAGACTGCAGATGGCGATTCTGTTTCAGTTCCTCACGTCGTAACTTTTGTCCACAGGTCTTCTAGCGAAGAAAGCTGTCGAAAACGGACTAAGCGTGTTGCCTTACATCAAGACATCACTATCACCAGGATCTGGAGTCGTCACTTACTATTTGAAGGTATTAAATCAAAATAATTTAAAATAATCCTAAAATCTGACTTTTAACTTAAATAGCAGGGGTCGGCAACCTGAGGTTCTCGAGATCTTTATTTTACTGTCTAGGTAAATTAACGTGCCTTCTTCCCTGCTCTACCTCTCTCTGTCTTTCTCTCTTTCTTTCTTTCTCTTCCCAAGTTGATATCCGGAGGTGTACTGATTAAACCACTTCGTAGGGTTTCTCCACGCCTGTCAAACCAGCATAAAGTCTATATCTTCCTGAACCATCCATAAGGAAGGCCTGAGCCCCTCCAGTGGGGACATCAAAGGGCTGGTGATAATGAATTATTTTTTTTTACAAACAGTTTCATTTTCGAACTAGATAAAAAAAAGTAGTAGTCGTGTGAGAATCTATCTCTGTCATCGAACGCTTCACCAATATCCACGTGCCTGATTAAGACGGACACATGATGCATTGTAATTTACACCTTACGATTATTGAGACAAGATGGACTATACATTATTATTGTACATCGTCGGATTTGGTAAATCTGCGTCCTTATTCTGTAACTCGTTTTTAGTAAATCATTAATCCTTAGTCAATAGGGATGATGACTAATTTTTGTTTGTTTGTCCGTCAGGTAGAGTGTTAAAAAATATTAAACACGTATTTTTTTATTTTTTTTCGTAATCATAAAATTACGGCGTTACATGGAGTTGAAATTTCGCATGACGTCACGTTAGAGTACGTTTTCTACTCAACTGTGACGTAGCGAGCCCCCACTCCTCAACTTTAATGCCTGTTATCTAAGCTATTTCTTGTTAAATTGAAGTAAAAAAAAAATACGTATCTAATATTTTTCTATTATCTGACTGACGGACTGAATAGAATTGCATTTTTTTTACCCAGTCATCATCCCTATTGTTATACATATATATTGTATATTTTAATTTAGATGAAATCGCTCATTGAAGTTCACTTTCATAGTCACTAATGCTTACAGAATACGAAATAACAGTTTATCGATACAAGATCAAGTGTCATAATTGAGTTCATTGGAGATCGCCGATATTAACATTTCAAAATTGCTAACCATTGATAGAAAATACAAGTAAATGATTCTGACACATTGGAATTGCTCACTTATTTCTGTGATTACTACTTTAGGTTGTCAGTTGAGTTAGAGAATACACCTGCTGCCTCGCGCTTCTGTAAAAAATGCAGACCCGAATTCGAATTCACTCGTGTGTCCGATTTAAGTAATTCACTATACAAATTCTATTAATTCCATTATTTTACATAAAAACGCAAAACAAAATTGATTGAATATACGCGTCTCAGATATTCTATTCCTATGTCGTGTAACTCACTTCACTTATGTCACGACACGTTATTATCTGTTCAAGATTGAGCGGATGCCGGTTTTTGAAGTGAAACACCTGAGTGGATTCAGATTCGTGTCTGGATTTTTTTACAGAATCGCAGGGTTTATATGAACTTACTATTATTATATATGTATTTCTGCCTGTAGGAGTCCGGAGTCGTACCTTACCTTCAGAAGTTGGGATTCGATATAGTCGGTTATGGATGTATGACGTGTATCGGAAACTCTGGACCTATAGACGATAACATAGCCAACACCATAGAAAAGGTATAGTATTCCCATTATCTAATACAGTGATTCCCTAAGTGGTGCAGGACCCCCAGTGGTCCACGAGAGATTCATCGAGGTCTACGCTGGCGTGAATTTCTTGCTCGTTAGATAGATCTTCACATATTGGACGAATTTTGGGAATATGGTAAAAATGTAGCAGCGGGGGGTCCGCCAAAACTAGTAATTTTTTTTAAATGGTCTGCGAGAAAAAATTGTTTGGGAACCTCTGATCTAATATGTGAGATATTCGTACACAGTTTTAGTTGACAATTCCGAAACGGTTTGACCAATTTTTATGAAATTTTACAGGTTCCCCGTAACTAAACGGTAAAACGGGAACATTATATACTAAGACTGTCTGTCTGTCTGTCACCATGCTGTATCTCATAAACCGTGAGAGTTGGACATTTAAAATTTTCACAGAGGATATACTTCTTTTGCCGGTCTAACAACAAATACTAAAAAAACAGAATATTAAATGGGGGTCCCATACAACAAGCGTGATTTTTTGAGCCCGTTTTCATTACGATATTATAAACCATAATTATTGATATAGCAAGCAGTACAGACTGAAATTCTGCTAATATTTACATAATAATACCATCCCAATAGAATGTTAACTACTTGCATTTACCATTGTACTATCTACCTGAACTCCAATATTATTAGAGCGTTGTCTCCCTCACACATCAACGATGACAGATGTATTTATCATTGTAGTGATCCTGTAACCAGGAGCTATGTCATAACAGGTTGTAGTTGAAACACTATTGACTTTACATAATTACGCTAATATTAGCAGAATGACCCTTCTAGGACTCACTACAATATGTCAAATTGTCAACACCCCTCTCACACGCACTCAGTCATTATCATTCTACTCACCGAGAGGATAACACTATAGGTTACGTAAAGTTTGTGCCAAATATAAGGAACAAATTTCAGTGTTGCTTATCTGCTTAATATATACTATACTCCATTCATTATAGCATTAGACAGAATGAAAAAAAGGTTCTTTTTATGGTATACTTTGTGACAAAATGTCAACAATCATGTTACTCTTAAGACTAACGGCTAATTTGTTACATATCCACTTAAATACCAGCTGCTATGCTTGGCCGTTGTCTTTTAAGCTATATATTTAACAAATTTATGAGTATTTGACTGACTTAAAACATTTAATAATTATTACAATCAAAAGTGTTCATCTTAAAGAACCTAAAGAAGCAGGGTTAGATAGTTTCGGTACGATTCTCATGTCACTATACCAAATTTAAAACGTTGCCTAACGTTTGAAGGGAACGTTTCGGTAGTACAGCTTTTTAATTTTGTCAGACTATTATTTATTCATAATTGTTAATATCGAAATCTGGGATTGTCATCCATTGTGAATGCTACTGCCTTTCTTGTTGTTTTGCCATTTACAGTGATTCAGTAATTACTGTGTTATTATTGTTTTCTTGTAGTTTTGTTTTAGTTGTTATCCTTTTGTTGTTAAGTTTTGCTAAATTTTGATTCCGGTGCAGGCCCGAGTGGCCTACAACAATTAACTTTGACATTTCAGCAATTTTTTCCACTGCTTAATCAATAGTCTAATAATATCTGAATAAAAGTTATAACACTATTAATAAAAAATTAATGTTGTTTACCTTTATTTTCTGGGCATAGATATAACTAAATTATATTCTCATTATATACATTTACATTTAGAATCAATCCAAACAACAGATAGATAGTTTTATTTCCATGTTGTCTCTCAATAAAAGATGAATTTAGAAAATGCTAGTCTCATCTCAACCCCGAGTTCAAAATTTCAACAAAACTATTATAAATATTTATTTTGTAAATAAAATGTTCTGCACTGCTGCTTCTGAGATCCTCTTTTTTCTAATGTTATAATGAATGGAGTATAACTAATTTCAAGAATTTGAGGTTTTGAGGTGCTGTATGCTGAAAGACGGGTATTAACTCAGTTCAGCAGCAGATGCTAACTAATTAGGTACAGTATATGATAAGCTTAGTTATAACGACAATCATGTATTTATTTGTGGTCTAATAAATATTATTAACGCGACGGGTTTTCAACTCTACTCTTAAGCATTAAAGTTTAAAATTAAATTAAAAAATTTGACAGATTTTTTTCAATTTTGGTGATATTGTTTCTCAGTAATAGTTTTTTTTTGTACAGAACGAGTTGGTATGTTGTGGTGTACTATCGGGCAATCGTAACTTCGAGGGTCGCATACATCCGAACACGAGAGCTAATTACCTCGCATCTCCTCTACTGGTGATAGCGTATGCGCTCGCCGGCACTGTAGATATAGACTTTGAAACTACGCCTCTGGGTAAGTATACTTTTGTGTTCCACTCTATATTCAGCTTAATTATAAGAAGTGAGTGCTAAAAAATTAGAAGTTGACGGATTTAGAGGTGAATAAATTTAGAAGTTGACAGATTTAGAAGTGACTAGAAGCTGACGGATTTAGAAGTGAATAGAAGTTGACGGATTTAGAAGTGAATGGAAGTTGATGGATTTAGAAGTGAATAAATTTGGAAGTTGACAGATTTACCTATTTTAAATTAAGTTGCGAGAATAATCTCATCTCAAGAGGTTCTTTTTTGGGTACATGTGGTAGGTTAATTAATTTGGTATAATTAATATGATAATGATTTGGCTAACTAGTAGTATATAATAAATTCGATATTTATATGCTATCTATAGGCTTTAAGTTCTAGTTTTATTTCTATATTACTATTATCTAATATGGATGCAATTAAATCTTTTTAGCCCGTCAATCAGATAATACAAATATATTGGATGTGTAGTTTTTTCGCTTTAGTTTAATTAGAAATAGCTTAGATAATAGACAATAAAGTTGAGGCTGGTGGGGGCTCGCTACGTCACAACTGTGTAGAAAATGTGTAAAGCTGCGACATTTCAACTCAATGTATTACCTTAATTTATTGATTACACAAAAAATAAAAAAAAATGGGACCACACGGCAAACCTTTTTTTTTTCTTGAAAGCTAGCTTTCAAAAAAGAAACAATCCTCAAAATCGGTCCACCCTGTAAAAAGTTATATGAGGTAACAAAAATAAAAAAAAAACAGCAGTATTGATAACTTCCTTCTTTTTTTGAAGTCGATTAAAATACGCTCTGTAGTAGGGAATGCAATCTCGCGAGATTGGGACTCGAGCGAGATCTCGCGAGTTTATGAATATCAATACCGCGAGATCTCGCCAATTACGAGATTTCGCGAGATTGGCACTTTTTGTGTTTGCTGTTTTACTGTAATATTTATTCAAATCACAATATTTGAATGAATTAAAAAAAATACAGGAATTAAACGTATTATGAATAAAGTTTTATGTATTTAAAAAGAGCAATTACTGTATTATAATCTCGGAAACGGCTGCAGGGGCTTTCAGAGGCGATAAATCGATTAAGTTTTTTATTTCATAAAAATGCTGAGTAAAAATTAGTCATCCAGGTACTAATATTTTAAGAAACTAAACTTTGACGTATCTAATCAAATACGAAATTAAATAAACAACCAGTCTTCTCTGCTAAAATCAAAGAAAAGTTTAATTATAATATACAGTATTTTAAAACAAAAATATAAAAACTAAATTTTTACTCATAAACCATGTTAAATTGACTATTTAACTGAGATTATTAAAAATGAAAGAAAACTATGCGTACCCAGAGATCTGTTAGAAAATAGAGAATAAATTATCAAAATATACTAATCAATTTAAAGGCTTATTCGATTCACATCACGCGTTATTATTGCGAATAATATTGAAAGTAACTTCTTAAGAAGCACAAAATGTTCAAAGAATCTTTGCTATTCGTCTTATTATCGGACTCGCATAAATTCACGCTGCAGCACTTAGAATAAATCATTTTATGCTCGAGTGCAATCTCGTTAAACTCGCGAGATCTCGCCCATTTTTCGACCGAGATCAATCTCGCTAAAAAAGGCCGAGATCTCGCGAGAACGAGATTGCATTCCCTACTCTATAATAGCGTAAAGTAAAACGCGCTTGAAAAAATCGTCAGTCCTATTATGTCCTGGGTAGCTCAGTGGTTAGAGCAGTCGCCCGGGTTGCGAAGGGTCGGGTTCGAGTCCGATCTCAAAGTACCAGGGACGAAGTGGAATTTTTGAAATTTTTTATCAACAATATTTTTCAGTATATCATCATTGTTTATCAAAATATAATTCAGTATACTTAACAAAGGGAATTGTTCAATTTTGGCTTTTGGTGGACAAGCTAATTAGTAAAAACTATGTACACAGTAAAATATTATTAAAACTGAAAAAAATATTTTTAATACTCTCGTCATGGGAAACTTAACATTAAAAATATCATTTTTAAAAGTATTTTTTGGATTCGGATATGTTTTGTTGACATGTTGCACTGTGTTTCCATATCAATAAATGTTATTGAAGTACTATTACTAATAGTATCGATTAATCGATTAGTTTTAACTTTAATTAAAATGAATGTAATTAAAGTTATATATATATTAATGCATATATAGTAGGTAATCTTTTGCAATATCATGTATCAAAATATTAAAAACGTTACAAATAATCCTTTTCGGTTAGATATATAAGTTCATTTACAAATCAATCGATTACTTTTCATCGATAAAAGATTTTTATATGGCAACACCATTTCACTTTTGTCAACAAAGACGTTTGAGTGATAATTCTTATTCGGCTAGGTTATGTTTTGATTTTGTTGTTACTTTCTATCAAGAAGAAGAAGACCAATTTATTTCCGTGAACTCGATTTACATTGATAATGGACTCCGATACCTCTCGAAATTATGACCCGGCTATACCTCTGGACACCGAACCAAGCACAAGTAGTGGACATCGTCGGCAGCTTTGTATAAATTGTGGAAGATCTATATTAAATACTAGATCACAACTACTGCAAACAATATCCGACAGAGGAACACACATTAGAAATGTAATTATTGATTGGAAATCCCCACGACTGGTAGGATTATAGTTATTTTTATTTATTATGATTACTTTACTACAATTAAGCTTCCTTTATGAAAAGTATAACATTAATATATCGCTGCCATATTGTTTAAGTAACATTTTGTTAACAAATAATTTAATAATATATTATTCTCTTTTAGGTGCATGGATCTGATAGCATCTGTCATTTGTTGGCAGTGAGCAGATAGAGTAACAGTTCCTTCTAATATTCCAGAACCTACACAGACCATTACCGGATTCTAAAAGAGTACCTGATTCACAAGCATATTGTAGTGTTCCAGATTGTGACTCACCACAGCGACTGACAGTTCCCACATGGCTTTGGATAAAATTGTTTGTTGATTTTAACTTTTATGTACCAAAAACCAGTAGGCTGTGTAGTTCTCATTTATATTATAATAATTGGACTGAATGGTTGTCTATCATGCAACTAATTCATACATTTACTACAGAACATATACAAGCTTTTGCATTATTTGTTAAAGAAAGAAATCATACAATGGATTTTAACAACATTGAAGGAATGCCTGAAGACATTGTGCACTTTTGGATAGGTCTGTCTAAACTTCAGTTAAAATCAAATTCCTTCCTGGGTTATCTGAGATGTGTATTGGGGAGTTAGGGCTTGTTTGCTTATTTAATTAAACTATGAACTGGGGATAGTGATGAGAGAATATCAACTTTATTAAATATACCTCGTTCAACATGAACAAAACTATTAGTAGCAGCTTGTGAATTACTAAATGTGGAATTTGTTTCTCATAATTCGTTGACTGCCCGAATGCTAGCCTCCAGCTGAAGAGAAACTGTATGAGCAGTGTAATTTATTTATTAAATGATTTTGGAAAGTCTATTCTTATAAATAAGTGTATTTACTGTCTTTTGCTTGTACAATTGTATTTTCAAATTAAAGGTAAATATGTGTAAATCTACAATTTTTTTATTTAACCATCTCTGTTTGTTATTTCTAACATAAATAAATTAATATGATGATAAGGTAATTAAAGTGTATTACAAAAAAAGTACTATCGTTACATCGTTTATGGAATACTACATATGCTTATATATTTACAATGTTAAACTTTCCCATGAAAATATTACAATAGTTAACTTCCTTAAGACATGAAATATTAAAAAATAACGTTTTTTATAACTATAGATAATGTCCACTCAAAGCCAAAGTGCCCATACAAACTGAACAATTCCCTTTTAGATACTGTCAGCGATTGTAGGTATTATAATATTGTATGAAACAGCTGATTGTTTCTTCTTGAATTCAGTGTTAACAACAACCTCAAATTACAATACAATACTTAATTCTAGAATTTACTTAGAAGGTCAATATTAGTTATCCACATAAAATACTCAGCTTCAGTTGAGGGTAAAACAATATTGTCAGTGGCCGAGCGCATCAACCGTAGGATCAACACTCGACAGTGCGTAATGGTAAGTAGTCGTTTGCCGTCGCTGCCGGCCGCCGCGCTCGACCTTGTCCAAGTGATAAACGGATCAAGGCTATTAAACTTCGCATTAAACGTTCGCATGAGTCTAGTAACAACCGCATTATTACCTGCCAGCATGATGCTGCCATAGTAAAAGTTGTTCAGTATACTTAACTAATCCACTTCACAGAGTCCTGGCATGTAATAATACTAGCTTTCGCCAGCGGCTTCGCCCCCGTGGACCCTAGGGAAATGTTTAGTGGGATAACAAGTATCCTATTATCTAAGTCAGCTAATACTGACTTAGAAATTGTAATTCCTCTATATTTTATGGTGTACAATAAAGAATTTATTCATTCATTCATTCATTCATTCATTCATTCATTTATTCATTCATTCATTCATTCATTCATTCATACCCTATCTGTATACAAAATTTCATCAAAATCCGTTCAGTAGTTTCGGCGTGACTAACCGACAAACATCCAAACAAAGAAACTTTCACATTTATAATATTAACAGGATTGCACCTTATATATAATATTCTATTGTAGGTAAACGGGCCGATGGCTCATCAGTGTATTTGCGTGACATATGGCCGACCAGACAAGAGATACAGGAGGTTGAAAACAAACACGTCATACCTGGAATGTTTAAAGAGGTACCTACGCTAATTTTTCTTATAATTACAATCTAAAGTTTTTTGTTCCTAGTTTTTGAAAATCGTAGCGCCATCTATTAGAAAGCACAGTTACTATTGACTGAATAAACAACAGTTTGTCACTTATTCCTTTGGACAACACGTGGCTCCATCTGTTACACAGGACGATAACTATTAACTGAATAAACGAAGTGTTCTTGTTCCTACCACCTGCAGTGCCATCTATTATGTAGTACAGTAACCATTGGCTGAATAAACAAAATAGTTTCTTCTTGTCCCGTAGATAATCCGTAGCGCCATCTATTAGATAGCACAGTAACTATTAACGACAACGAGTGATGATACCGTACAAATTTTAACAACTTTTGAATTAAATTGCAAAAAAAATATTCTTAATGATGTTAATTTTATAGTAATTAAAACTTTTACACAGTCGAGGAAACATAATTATTCCTTGTTAATACATTTATTATATTACATAACAGCGAAAGATAATTCATTTCTGGTAACCCATCTCATGACCGATCACTGCCAAGGTTGCTTAGCATTCGTAATCGCAGAACGTTCGCAGACCGAATTAATCTTTGTTACGGTCACCCATCTCATGACCGACCACTACAAAAGTTGCTTAGCATTCGTAATAGCAGAACCTTCAAGGACCGAACTAATTTTTGTTCCGGTCACCCATCTCGTGCCCGACCACTGCCAAGGTTGCTTAACTTTTGTAATCGCAGACCGAGCCTGCAAATTTTCGGTTGTTACAACTAGGTATATGAGAGAATCGAACTCGGCTCCCCGTCGTGGCAAGCGCTGTCTGTACCACAGGGCAAGTTATATGGATGGGACCCGAACTCTACCTACATTAAGAAACCACCATTCTTCGATGGAATGACCAGGGTGAGTCCCGCTAATAACTAAGACTTTATTCGTTACTAGCAGTGTTCCCGCGACTTTCCTTACTTAAAATATAGCCTATGTCAACCCCGTATAACGTAGCTTCAGGTAGGTGAAAGAATTTTTTAAATCGGTCCTATAGTTTCAGAAACTATTCGATGCAAACAAACAAACTTACACACAATCAGTCGAAACTTTCCTGTTTATAATATAAGACAAGCTCCATCGAGTCTTGGCTAGTTTTAAAAGATGTTTTAGTTGGAATGAGGAAGTATTTTAAGAAAAAAACGAAAGCACTAAAAAAGCACCTCCACTAGATGGCGACTCTAGCAAAAGTTGATTTTTGCAGGAAACGAATGGACCAAAGACAGTAATTTCCGTTCCTTTTAACTAACATATTAAAAACTGAAATTTGTAAAGTTCGAAACTTAGATATCAATACAAATACGAAAGAGTACAAATAGAATATGAGTTGTTTATTGAGTTTTGAAAACTAATTTACTTTTACACATGAAAGAAAACCGGAAGGGTTGTGGAGAAATCAAGAAAGTACTTTAGCGACATCTAGTTTGATTTCGGGAACTAATGATTTTTTTAATACTTCCTTATTGCAATGACAAATTGAATAGTAGAAACCGTCACCATGTTTTAATTCCGTAAACAGACTTTCACTCCCATTTTCATCCCTATATGCATAGTTTATATACAGGGTTATGGGTAATTAGACCGGATACTTTTAAAGGGTCGTAGGGGAGGTTTTTTATAATTATTTTCACCTCAGATGTATCCGAAAGTGAGCCATTTTTGTGATAAATTTTATTTATTTTTTCTTTAAAAGAGTCGAAATAAAAAAAAATTATGATGAGAATCTTGACAGTTTTGGAGAGACAACATTCCAGTCCGTGATAAATAATAATAAAACCCAAATAATCTTGACCTAAACAGGAACTACAGAGTTTTAAATAAAAAATTTTTTTTTGTTGTTGTAAATTTGCAAACAAAAGTGCATTTAAAAAAAAACTTTCGGATATACAATGTGGGGTATATATATATATATTAATATAGCCTATGTTGGTCCTTGCTTCGGAGGCTATTCAATGCAAACAAACAAACAACCAAATCTTTCCTCTCTATAATATTAGTATAGTACTTTAAAAGATCTCCGCGTACAGACAATGGTAGGCGACAGTCTCATACTATGTCTAGAAGTTACTGACTGCTTTTTTTTACACTCAGGATCTACCTCCTATAAGATCCATAGAGAATGCTCGTTGTCTACTTTTGCTCGGCGACTCTGTGACCACAGACCACATATCACCAGCTGGATCAATAGCTAGGAACTCGCCCGCTGCAAGATTTTTAGCATCCAAAGGGTATGTACACACGACAGCATATAAATATTGAAACTATTACATGTAACATTTTTAAGATAATTAACATACTATATATATAACAAATTAAAAAAAATATATGTATATTACGTGTAGCTATTCATACTAGATGGAACAGGTATTTGGAGTATTAGATAATTTTTGTATGTCTGTCTCTCTGATCAAATTTAATAGTATAAAGACTTTGTTATATTAGATTTAAGTTATTGACAAACACACGTACAAAATGACACGAACATACACATACATACATGCACATATACGCACACACACACATATTTTGACACACATACACACATATCGACACAAACCCATACACACATAATGACACACACATACACATATTGACACATACTGACACACATATAGACATATTGACACACATGCATGCACGCACACACACACACACACACACACACACACACACACACACACATACACATGTTGATACACACACATATAGACACACACCCACACACACATATTGACACACACCCATACACACATATTGACACGCACACACACGCACTTAAAATTAAACTGTATGATTTAGGTACGGAAGAGCGGGGCCATCTAATGACATGTAATGTGCATATTAAATAAAACTATATTTAAATATATCGACGCTGGTAAGCAAACACGTAGTAACCTGTTAAACCAAAATGGATATTTAAAGTGAAAAATCTCTATATTAAAAAAAAAAACTTATTTCCCTATAAATTGATTAAGTAACATCTTATTTATTACCATGGACGCTTATAGGAATTATTTATCGAAAAAAAAAAATCTGCTCTGAAGAACAATTTTGGTTTTGCGGGTTACTATTTGATTGGTTTCCAGCGTCGATATTTTGATGACCCCGTGAATGAATATATAATAAATAAATTTAAAATTCATGTAAAGAACTATACTTATGAGTAAAGGCTATTATAAAGTTGATGATTATTTTAAGGATCGCAATGCATGGAATTAATAGCCTTCGCTTTGTTCTATAACGACTAATTATATGTTCAACCTATGTCCTACAGACTTTGAAAGTTGTATTTATTATTGTGATAATACATTATTATTTTGGTAATGACATGATTTATGTAAATGTCATTACTTATGATAAAGAGCTGGTAAGTTTCTTTCGCTTGTTCTTGTCAGCTAAAAGACGTCCTGAACAAGTGGTAGGGGAAAAAATTTTTTTGGACGATTCAAAAGTGCTTGAAATAAGCTTACTTGAATAAAGATATTTTCATTTCATCTCAGAGTACCAGAGACACAGTGGATTTTTTTAAAGCTTTTTTCATTAAAAGTAAACTAAACTTATCCACTCCGCGAAGTCCTGGCATGTAATAATATTACACTTAATATTTGTCTTTATATATAATATAATTGGGGTGAGATAATGACAAAGCTTTGTTTGTCTCCTTCAGATAGATATGAAAGAAAATTCAAAGCGCATTTTTTTTATTTCTTGAGTAATACTTGAATAAAGATATTTTCATTTAATTTAATTTCGTCAGTCTGACGCCGCGCGAGTTCAACTCGTACGGGTCCCGGCGCGGCAACGACGCCATAATGTCGCGCGGCACATTCGCCAACATCCGCCTCGTCAACAAGATGGCGGCCGCGCCCGGGCCCCGCACCACGCACCACCCCAGCGGCGACGCCATGGACATATACGACGCCGCCGAGAGGTCAGTGATCCCCTCCGACGTATCTCACGAGGGGGCATTCCCTACTCGTCACATCACGAGCCGTTTTTACGTCCCCACTGCAGGGGCTCAGGCCTTCCTTATGGATGGGCCATGACCCTCCACGCTGGCCCAATGCGGATTGGAGGGACCAACGGCTTAACCGACTTTTGCCTTCCGAAGCACGAAGTAGCTCGAGATAATAATCTTTCGGTCACCCATCCCGTGACCGACCCTTGCGAAAGTTGCTTAACGACTACGATCGCGGGCCGCGGCGCTTATCCACTACGCCACCGAGCTACATTCCCTATTCGTCATCACCGATTTCGCTAAAATTTAAAGGACATGTAAGACTTGGTAAGAGATAAAATTACCCAAAGTGGGAACTCCAGATGGCCGAGTGTTTAGAAAAAAAAATTTTTTTTCGTGACATTTAATAAAAAATAATTTAAAAACATTCTCTCCATGCGGAATAGAACTCACGACCATGAGCTTACTAGTCGGAGCTCTTACCGCTACGCCAGCTGCTGGTTGGTAGACTTGTCAACATTTATAGCTTATACGGTGAAAAAGTCGCAAAAAAAATTTTATTTTCTAAACACTCGGCCATCTGGAGTTCCCATTTTGGCTAATTTTATCTCTAACCAAGTCCTACATGTCCTATAAATTTGAACGAAATCGGTGATGACGAGTAGGGAATGCCCCCTTGTGAGGGAACGTTTTAAGGCTTAAATATTCTTTATCTATATTCAAATCTAAAAAAATCGTATTACGAATTACAACAACAACATTTTTCACAACATTTTTCAATGCTTTTTGCGAGGAAATAAAACAAATATATAGGTTAATAAAACTAAGTACATACTTATTAACTAAGTATGTATTAAAGGTAAAAATTATTTGTTAAAATTATACGTGATATTTCAACTTGTTTTCGTGTCATACATTTTTATTTGAAAATATTCGTTCTAGGCTCCTTGAAATACTTTTGTTGTAATTTTTAATGTTTCTATACACCAACTAAGTATTTTACAATAACTTATAATATTGGTTCAATAAAGATTTATTTATCTATCTACTTTCGGAGTTTTATTCGATGCAAACTAAATATTTTTCTTCCTTGCGAATTGCTATTTTAATCCTGGGTAACTCAGTAACCCGCATTGCAAAAGCTCATGGGTCAAGTCCCATCCCAGAGTCTAGCACTCTGACAAAGTGGATTTTTTAAACATTTTCATTAAGAATATCTTCCAGTATTGCAAAATTAATCAAATATAGTAAGTAAACGTATATAAAAGTATGTAGAAGGGTGATAGTTGAAAATCAGCGGCAGCCCTAGCTGACTAATGCTGAACTAGTCACCCTTTTTAGTGCAGTCATGGGACACTCAACTTTGTATCCTTTTTTTACTGTTAAAATAGGCTAGTGTCTTAACTTATAAATGTTTAACAAAACAAATTTTAAGACTCTGATTTGGAAAATATTCGCTTTGAAAACTTGAAAACAGTAGAGAAAATCTACTACAAAATTTTGTAAAATACGTAAGGCATTAAATTAGATATAAAAAATCTTACTACTTTCATTATAACAGCTATAAACATTAACGCACAAATAACAAAGATATTACAATAAATGTCCAGAGGCACTCAGTGTGACGTCACTGAGTGCCTTGAATATGTAGGGAGCGTTTTCGTTTAACCAGCAGCAGTTCCACAAACACAGCACTGTATCTCCGAAACTATAAATCTCAGCTATAATGTTACTTCGACATTATTTCTCAGATGTTAATGGACTATTTATTTATGAAATAAAAAAAAAGTTGTCAACTAGCCTATTATATGTGCTGTGTCCTGTGCCTGTATTCAAATAAATAATTGGAATTTATACATTATTATTTTTATTTTCAGATACGCTTCAGAGAACGTCCCTCTTATAGCTATTGTGGGCAAAGACTACGGTTCGGGTTCCAGCCGTGATTGGGCAGCTAAAGGACCATATTTACTGGTAAAGTTACACATAATCTTTATGAAATGAAAATGTCTTTATTCAAGTAAGCTTATTACAAGCACTTTTGAATCGTCAAAAAAAAAAATGTTTTTTTCTCCTACCACAGGAACTTACCCCAGCTCTTTATCATAAGTAATGACATTTACATAAATCATGTCATTAATTAATTCCATGCATTTCAATCTTTAAAATAATCATCAACTTTATAATAGCCTTTACTCATAAGTATGTTTCTTTACATGAATTTTAAATTTATTTATGGGTAGGTCAATTACATTTTGTGGAACTTTATTGAACATAGCAATGCATTTACCCAGAAATGATCCTCTGGTTTTCTGAAGTCTGAAGCTTGGAACGGCAAGCTTATTTTTATTTCTTGAGTTAAGATTATTGAACACTACTTTTTTAACTTAATATCATCAACATCATCATCACCAGCCCTTTTACGTCCCCATCTACAGGGGCTCAGGCCTTTCTTATGGATGGTTAAGGAGGATGGGCCACGACCCTCCCACGCTGGCCTAACGCGGATTGGAGGGTATAAACGACTGCAAATGCAACCGGGACCAACGGCTTAACGTGTCTTCCGAAGTACGAAGTAGCTCGAGACAATATTTTTTTGGTCACCCATCCCGTGACCGACCCTTGCGAAAGTTGCTTAATTACAACGGTCGTGGGCCGCTTATCCACTACGCCACCGAGCTAGCTACTTCTACCTAGCTCCTAATTAGTACACTAAATTTTGCCAGTACTTTTTTTATTGATTAAACTAGTCTATGGTTTTAGGCTGAATATGAAAAAAAGGCGCACGCATGCGCAGTTTGAACTGTGAAAAAAATGGCGCACGCATACATTACTTCCTTGTAACCTACCTACTTTGTTTGTTGATGTCCTATGAGTGAAGATAAAGTAGTGTATGAAACTGCATATAACTTAGGTATTAAAACACTCGAGTCAACCTATTATTGATATAAACAGACTCTCGTGTTTTAATACCCCTTCTTATATGACAGTTGCATAAACTACTATTATTCATAAATTCCATAAAATTCCAATTCCCAAATTCCAATTCCATACGCCATTTTTTCATATTCAGCCTAAAACCATAGTTTAGTTTAATGAATAAAAAAAGATATCGGTATTATAATGAGTTTTATGATACAGTTGGCGGTACTATAATGAGTTTTATATTTAATGTTATCTAATGCGCGTTTATAAAGTGCGTATTTATAGAATCGTCTTTGAATTCGTAATTCGAATTTTTCGATTTAAGTGTAAATAAATACTATTATTAT